GTTTCACGTGGGTTTATTGTTTTATGGTTGCTTTTGTTTAGATTTCTTACTCGAAGGAACTTTATTCAGTTATTTATGTTTTTTTTTTTTAATCTTTATTCCAGATAATATCTGGCAGATATAGTCAAACGAATGAACGTGAAAACGACGGGAAAAATCCTCGAAACAACCATGGCGTTTCATCACGTTTCCTTATTCAAGCATCCTAACGTGTTTTTTTACTGAAGTCTTTTTGAGTATATTTATATATTATTGTTTTATTCAAGTATTCGATTAAATTATACAGGTTTTTATCGTGCTTTTTTAGTTCATTCGTTTCTCTTATTCTTTGTGAATAAAAATATTACATAATATTTTCAAAATCTAATTTTTTTAATTATTCAGCAAATAGTTTGATATCTTTTTTTTTTTAACCTTGAATCAATAAGCTCGATAGTTTTAGAATTGTTTGGTATTAGCTTGGTAATATGATACGTAACTATGTTATTTTTCAAATTCAATTATTTATATACTCTTGCATTCTATTGGGCGTGCAAATTAAAAACTTAAACTGTTATTTATATTTTTATAACTTTGCTTTACCTATGCCTATCCTGATCGGAAATAGTTATTCTGATACGTGAATAAAAAATTTGAAATCTAATTTCTTTTAATAAAATAAGTTTTTATTTAGAAGTACTAATAATTTCTTAAAATACCGGGGCTTCCGTTACTTTATATACAATATAAGCATGTATATAAGCGTATGTATGTTGCTAGCTTTAACGTTCGTAGTGCCCTCTATAAATGCTAATGCTTTTGATTTTGCCAGACCTTTTAACTCGCGAAGCAATTCTTTTTTATATTTTATACAAACCATACACCATATCTTCACAACAAAAATTGTTCCATTCTCAACTTCAGTTTCTTTTCCACAGACTCCATCTTTACCCCACTCAAAAATGTTGCTAATGTAACTCTTCTACCAGATGATGCCATTACTATCTTTACTGAAAAACTTGAAAAACTTGAATGACTGGATAACTTGAATAACTTCATAACTATAAAGCAACACTATTTATATTATCTACAAAAATTGATTAGACGTTTGTTGATTTTTAATGAGATATTTCATTTTCAATAATGAGTTATATAATTGCATATTAAATAAACTGCCGTCTCTTTAAGAAAAAACGTGAAGTTAACGCGGAAGTTAACGCGGAAATATCACTTTAAATGTCTTTAAAGTAAGACAAACTAGTTTATCGGAAAAAAGCGAAATACATGGATAATTAGTTTATTATCGTTATTATTATAAACATTGAAAAACCAAAACAACATGATACTTCTTGTTCATCACATGTGTATACTTCCCTATTTAATATAATAATTATTAAATTTTGAACATAATATGGTAACTGTTTTTATTATATTATATTATTATTATATTATATTATATTATTATATTATATTATTATTATATCAAACAGTTATCGTCGTTTAAAAAACTGTAAGATTTAGTTATATTATTTTCTACATCATGTTATACAATAATGATTAAATTGTTTAATTTTTATATTTAAATATAAACAATTATAAGTTGGAGTTTGCTATCCATATTAAAATAATGTCATGAGAGAAGTTTTAAAAGAGTATCTTAATAAAAAAACATCAAAATATTCATCTTTTTTTTTACACAAAACTTATGTTTCAGACGGGCTTTATTTCGCCCGTCTAAACTGACTTAGACGGGTGCGGAGACAGACACGGGCCATAGCCCGTCATTCCTGCCGAAGCCTGCAACTGCATCTTAAACTTTAAGTTATAACTTAAGTTGTAAATAATAACAGTAAATTACGCTATTTTAAACTCTGCTAAACAAGAAAATTATAAGATTTTATTTAAATATGAGAGATAATATGTTAAAAATAGAACAATTACATACAAAAGTTACAATTATATACTAATGCAATTCCCCTCCCCCCCCCCCCCATTACTGCAAAGCAGCTAAGGTATAGGGGGGGGGGAGAGGAAGGTGAAATTTTTTTTTTTCGCGATAAGATTTTTTTGCGTTAATTCGAGCCCTGCCTCGTTATTTTATTTTTTTTTGTAGAACTTTACTGTTAAATAGTTTAAATATATAAACTAATCCCGTAAGCTCATAAAATTTTCAAAGTTACTATTTACTATAGTTATGCATAAAAAAACAAAAATCTCACACATTTTTTTTTTTTAATTTTTTCATTATACATGAAACCGCAATTGATTTTTGTGGTTTGAAAGTATACTATTATACTCAATATTTTAAATGAGAGTATTACAAATATGCTTTATTATATGGTTTTGAACATGATAAACATTTATTTTTTAGGTTTTGTCCACCACCTGGCCCACAGTGCTGCCTATTTTCATTAAAATTTTAAAAACAATATTAGTTATTTAATAAAAATGAATACTTTTTACATTACTGCTAAGAAACATTTTGTTAAAAATCTTTTGATAGTATAAGCATTTTTTCACAATTTTTTTTTGTTAATAAATTTTAAAATAAAAAATTTAAGCTTTCTAAAATCAGATTGAATTTAACAAAAATATATTTTTCATTTAAATATGAATTTTTTGATGAATATGAATAAATAATATCAAAATGAATTTGTAATCAATTGTTCTGGCAGTTGCATTTTTTATCAACAGTATTGCTAATCCTAAATATCTTATTTACATTGTACTTACTTCCTCTTACATTGTAGAATGCAGATAACTTTCAATTAGTTTTAGTTTTAAAAATGATTGTTCACAATAAGCAACAGTAATAGGTAATGTTAAAATTACTCAATACATATATTTGAATATAATCCTTCCAAATTCTTTTCTAAAATGAATTCCAAATTATTCATTATAGTATAAATATCTTCTAAAAATATATCTTAAAATAGAAAGCTCTTTTTTGTCTTGTGTATTTGATATTGTCAAATGTATTTGACATATGTCAAATACATGTCATTTGTATTTGACATATGTCATTCATATTTGACTTTTAATATTTTTATTTTTTTAAATATTAGGGATTTTATCCCAAATGATTTGAACCAAATACCTTTACAACTAGATGTGATGGTTCAATGAGTTGCATATTTGAATTCAAAATAAGAAGTGCTTTACAAAAAATGTATTGTTTCTTCGCACCAGAAAAAAAAAACTTTTTTGGTGACCTGTGTAATAAAATAAAAATATATTTAAAAATAGTTTATATGCTGAAGTTTTTATTGAATTCAACTTTATATTTATAAATAAATAAACATATATATATATATATATATATATATATATATATATATATATATATATATATTAGGGTGTCCCAAAAAACAACATTTTTGAAAATAATCTGCTCTTACCCCCTAAATGTGTTCTATCTAATGCAAAAACACTAGGTTTAAATTTTTTTAGAATAAAAAATATTTTAAGGGGTCCTTCAAGACCCTCGAATATAAAATGGGTCCCTAATATTTTCGAAAAAAAAGTTTTTCAAAAATATGTCAACCTGGTACTCAAATGAAGCGAAATTGTATAAAAATTTTAAAAATAATATTCATTTCGTAACAAAATTGTTATTTTTAGTTTTATTACATAAAAAATTGCGTTTTTTAAAAAAAAATGAAAAAAATGCATTTCTAATGTTTTTTTTATGATAATTTTGATAAATAAGTTAAAAATATTTTTAAATGAATATTTTTTTTGAAATATTTTATATAATTTTATAAATATATAAAATTTTATAAATATATAAAATATAAATATATAATTTCGCTTCATTTGAGTACCAGGTTGACATTTTTTTGAAAAACTTTTTTTTCGAAAATATTAGGAACCCATTAAATATTCGAGGGTGTAGAGGGACCCCTTAAAATATTTTTTATTCAAAAAAAATTTAAACCTAGTGTTTTTATATTAGATAGAACACATTTAGGGGGTGAGAGCAGATTATTTTCAAAAATGTTGTTTTTTGGGACACCCTAATATATATATACATATATATATATATATATATATATATATATATATATATATATATATATATATATATATATATATATATATATATATATATATATATATATATATATATATATATATATATGTATATATACAAATATACAATAATAATAAAATGTAGACACATATACAGGCCTTGACAGGAACCGAGAGCTTTAGCTTTCGCCCACACTCTCTTAAAGCAGTTTATAGGAGCAATTTATGGCTCTTGAAAAAGTATAACTGTTTCTCTCAAAAGTATTTTTCTTTCAAAAATTATTATTATAACTAAAATGAAAAGCACAAAGTCATTTAGTAAAAAAAAAAATAAATTGCATAATAAACTGCAAAATAAAAGGCACAGTTGTTTCACAGAAAAAAAAGAGCAAAATGCAAATGTTTATGATTAGATTAGGCTATTTGATACATATAAAATCGTTAAACTCATATTATATTTATAAAATATAAAATTATTTACCTGATAAAAAAATAAAATTATTAAACTCTGAATTATTGCAGAATAATTCTTATTTTATGTAATAAATTATATACTTTATATATTAATTACTTTTATATATTATTCACTTTTATTAAAGAATTTTTAATTGTTGTAACAATTCTTAAAACACCTGCATTCTATTACAATAAAAAAATATAAAACATTTTTTTATAACCAGTAAAAACTTTTATAGCTCTTTGTCAAATTTTTTATCAAATAAGTAATTTTGATAATAAATTTTATTCTTATAACATTAATGTTACAAACATATGCTTGTAACAAGTATAAAAGCAATTTTTTTAATGAATAAACAGATAGCTTGTGCAAAAACCATGAGCTGTTTTAGAGGAGCAGCTCGCGTTGCTCGCCATGTTTATTATAGGAGAGCTTTTCTCTGCTCTTGCACTTATTTACTCCAGCTGAGGCTTGTACATACATATATAAAATAATAATAAAACAATCATTATTTAAAATTAATGTGATAAACCTGGTGCTGCATTTGCAAGTGAACTCAAACAATTGTGATCAACAGTTGCACCGAATATAATATCTCTGCAAATTCTCCACATTCCAAATGTAGTATAAACATTCATTCTGCTTTCAGTGTCCATTCTCCATCCAGTGCTCATTGTTGAAACCAACAAAAATATAAGTGCAAAAGACATGAAAGTCATTGTCAATACTCGAAACTTAAGATTCATTTTTAATATTCTAAAATATTTTAAATGTAAAATTGATTTAAAAAAAACAACAACCTTTACTTATTAGTAGCACATTTATTACATTTAATACAAAAATATTATTAAATTAGGAGAAGTTTTAAACCAATAAAGTATTACTTGACAATTAACATTCAACAGTAAATAAAATACATTCAGAGTTGATAAAAATTATCTTTTAAAAAATTGCTGTTACTTGATTCTTTTAAAAATTTGTCTGTAACACTATTCAAATTTTGCAAATAAAAACTCTGATAATTTTTTGTAGATTAAAAAAAATAAGAGGTTAAACATAAAAAGAATATAATATAAAATAAATATTTAAAAAAAGATATGACTAATTAATAAAATACAAATTAAAATACAGAGTTCGTACCAAACTTATGTATATTTCAAAGATGGAGATTTTCCAGACTCGTTTTCCAGACAACCCTATCTTTACCACCTCCTATCCTTGTAATTATATTTATTAGTGTTTTTTTGCAAAAATAAAATCAGTGGTTTGGATGAAAAAGATGGAGAAAGCCATGGGTAGAGCAAGGCATTAATTGAAATTAACAAGAAGGAATAAAAGTTTGTCTACCCACCTAAATACAGGTTACAAAGGAAGTGCAACTTTTAGCAGAGTGACAAAATATATCAGCTCAGGAACTATTGAAAAAAAATTTATTTACAAATATTTCAAATAAGATATAGTTCTGCTTTATTTTTACAAGATTTGGTTCTAACCTACAAAGTCAGATTGTTCAAAAAGGTTTTAAAATTGAATACAAGAAAAGTTAGAGTTATATATATATATATATATATATATATATATATATATATATATATATATATATATATATATATATATATATATATATATATATATATATATATATATATATATATACATATATATATATATATATATATATATATATATATATATATATATATATATATATATATATATATATATATATATATATATATATATATATATATATATATATATATATATATATATATATATATATATATATATATATATATATATATTAAAATTAAATTTGAAGTTTTAAAGTTATGATATAATATGTAAAAATTTAACATTCTGTTCTGCTTGTTTTTGTATCTACAAAATTCATAATTTATCATCAAAAAACATCATCGCATCATAATAAATATGCATGAAAATTATTTTAAAATAATGTATAAATCTAAATTCAGCGTCACATATCCTAACGAAAATTAATATTGCAATAATGTATAAAAAAAAAACTTATATGGCTATTAATGCAAAGCATAGTTGATGACATCTTACTTATACTTACATTTGATTCATATATACATAAAGTATTTATAATCATAAAAAATTAATAAAGCAAATTTTGCTTATTTGAAAAATATCGATTAAATTTTAGATGATTTAGTAAAACCCTCGATTTTATGTTATTAAAAACTGTTTGTGTCATTATGATATAGCATAATCAAATATTGTTTATATCACCAAATACTGTTCAAAATATCTTAAAATGTCGGATAATAGCTATAAATCATATATAAATATCACTTATAAGACTTTTAGTAGTTAAAAAATGACACATTGCATTTGGTTTAAATCCAAGAGACGCTTTTCTATACTCGAAAGGAGTTTCTCCGTAAGGATATTCGAACTCAATAATTAGTCATCAAGAATTCTGCGGCCTTAGAATCCACGGTCTTAAAACCAGACCCAGAATATCGTCATCGCGGTGCTATAAATCGATAGTACATGTTTTAACTAATTTCTAAAAATATTAAGGAAACTTGTTTTTAGAATAAAATAGTTTCATAAATTATATATCAATAATACAAAATGTTACATTTCTACTTTTTATAAATAAAATTTGTTTGTTTTCATTTCAATAATACATTTTTATCAAATGATATAAAATAATATCAAATAATTTTTTTAAACTTAAATCTGTTTTATCTTTAATTTGTTATAAAATAACTTATATAGAAAATAATCCAACTATACCTTATAAACAAAATCATTATTAACAAGTTTCCAGTTTTAATGTGCAACTTATTTTTTATGACATATTTGTCAGGAACATGTATGCAAAAAAAGCATGTGAATGGTATTTTAACAAAAGACACTAAATAGCTCACAGGAAAACTTTAAAAAAATAAAATATTTAATTAGAAGACATAGCTTTCTTGTTAAATTTTTGGTTGAATCATTGCTATATATAATATTTTATTTGATATAAACTTGATTTTCCGGTTGACGATACTATTTGACAAATTTATCCGGTTGACTAAAATTATAGATGTTTGTCAACCGAATAAATGAATCAAATTATGTTTTCTACTAATAATCGGATTTTTTCAAAATCCTAAGCCGGCGCTCATTGAACATATTTAACTATTTTAAATATGCTGAAAAAAACAACAACTTGAATTTACTTCTAATAACAATATAAACATTTTAACTGAAATCAACAATTTTTTTATAAAACAAATTTTACAAACATCAAACAACAACAAAAAGGACGATAAATAAACAAAATATGCCCTCACTTAAAATTGTTCAATGGTTTTAAATAAAAATAATACGTATTGAAAATATTCTGAAAATTGTAAATTTTTATTAGTAACAAAACTAAGGCTTTTTTTAGCAAACTTATCATGTTTTGTGTATTTAAATTTTTTATCTACTTTTCCTCTACATTTGGCATTATAACAGACAACAGCAGGAATTTATTGATGATCCTACTTTATATAAGTTTCATCATCTTCAATAACACAGAAGTTTTTAGAAATATAATTGCTAGACAACTTTTTGCAGCGAGTTGCAGCTTTATTTTTAAATTTTTATCAACGGGTTCTTGCACTTTTAAAAAAAAAAATTTAAAACGCTTAATCACTTTTTGTGATTTAAATGTCGAAAAATACGAATTTTTCTTTTTACTATAAATACAGTTTTCGTATACATATAAAATAAATAGCTGGAGCAAGAAGAAGATATAATATTACCACCAAGCACCATTTTTAAGAAATCGTAATTTACAAACATTTTATTGTCAAGACGTAAATATATAAAGTAAAAGATAATAAATCCTATTATTTCATATAGCTTTTAAAGCATAAAGTAGCAAATGGTAATTGCTAAACAGTAGCAAAAAACAAATAAATATTACACACATACACATACCATTCTGAGATATATTGTCAATCATAAACTTTGTTATAAGGATTTTTGATAATAATTTTTTTTTTAATTATCTAAACTTTTATATTTGAGTTTAACTTTATTTAAAAGAAAGATTTAAAATCAAGCAGAGTGTAATTCATAAATAAGAAGTACTGTTTAGATTCCTTTTTAAATAGATCTAGAGAGGTTATCTTTTTATTAGCTATGTCTGAGAATGTTTTCCATAGATGTGGTCCACGATACTTAATTGATATAAGCTCAATTTCAAACTATATTTTGGAACAACAAAGTTGTTTTTCAAAAACCTTGTAGTGTATTTATGACAGATTTTACTAAATGAGGATTGTAATATTTTTGGAGACAATCCTAATATAGTTCTAGCACGTCTTATATATTTTACGATTTTATATAATTTATTTATATATTATATGTAGCACGTCTTATATATTTTAAGAACCATCATACTTATACCAAGCCTCTATTATTTGAAATGAAAGTTTTTAACTTATATAAGCTTAATATTTTTAATATTCTTTGTTTTATGTTTAAAAGTAAAACTAACTCATCTCCGATTTCTTTCCATAATTTGTATTCATCAAAAGATAAAAGTAAATTTATTTTACACAATGATAATTTTATTATACAGCCCATTTTTCAAACAAACCTTTTTAAATTTTGTATTGATTATCGCGGACCATTCTTATCTAATAAAATAGTTTTAAAAAATTTTACTGAGGGTTTTATTTATCAAAGTAACTACTTTTCTTTTAAATGAAAGCTTAAAGAATTCATTTTTACAATTGAAGATTTAACAATATACTTAGGATATTTTTTAGTGATCTCTCTTTTTATCTTCTATTTAAACATGAATTTATAAAAATTATATATGTATCATTAATAACTGTAATATGTAATAATGTATCTTGTATATGTAACGGAATATTTTAGGTTTCTTACTTCGTCAACTTATTTTTTATCTTGTACCTTATAATGCCTTGTAATAACTTAAATACCTTTTAATATCTTATAAATTTTAACCCGAACATTTCTTAGCGGTACTCCGTAAGACCGTTGTTCTTCTACGAGTCCCCGCATTCTTTTATTATTTGGTAACGATCATTATATATATATATATATATATATATATATATATATATATATATATATATATATATATATATATATATATATATATATATATATATATATATATATATATATATATATATATATATATATATATATATGTATGTATATATATATATATATATATATATATATATATATATATATATATATATATATATATATATATATATAATTATTATTATATATTTTTATTTTAAATATTGTAAGGAACTGCTTATTTAAAATGTGATAAAAAGAACAACGGCAACAACAACAACAAAAAAAAGTTCTATACATAAAGACTAAAATTTGATGTAAATTGATTTTATATATATTTAATGCTCCAAGTAAGCACAGGAAATGTTCGCAAATAGAGGTTCACACAGGAGAGATTTGCAAAATTCTTCTTTCTAAGCACCAAATACAATTCGACACGTATTTTTTTGTTTACTGTAAAGTTTTTTTAGTTTTTTATGATTAGTACTTGCGCAATCGATGTTACAGTATGTTAAGTAACTATAAATAAAAGCAATCAATGTTACGGTATGTTAAGTAACATACAGTATGTTAAGTAAAAGTATTTGGTAATATAAATAAAAAGTTTAAACTTTTTGTGATTTAAAATTTAGAAATGAGCTCTATATAACATTCCGATAGTTTTCGAAATTTTTTTTTCTAAACTGTTTATATGAAAATTCCATCGAAAATTT